TAGTGGGGTCCTGTACTGCTTCATTCCCCAAAACTCTCATCAGGTTGGAAATTTTAACTAAAAGCAGAGGAAAAAGTACTCAGTAATGGACATCTGTTAAGCAGTATATGGAAGTTATGGCACACATTCACCTGAGATGACATGACAAATTAAGTCTTAAGATTTCACTTTATGATCCTGAGGTGTTTCTTCCCAAAATTCAGTGTTTGTTAAGTAAATAAATAAATGGACAGGAATACCCCATAGGGTAGGACACCCCATATGGTAGGAAACCCCATTGGGTAGGAAACCCCATTGGGTAGGAAACCCCATAGGGTAGGACACCCCATTGGGTAGGACACCCCATAGGACAGGACACCCCACAGGGTAGGACACCCCATTGGGTAGGAAACCCCATAGGGTAGGACACCCCATAGGGTAGGACACCCCATAGGGTAGGACACCCCATTGGGTAGGAAACCCCATTGGGTAGGAAACCCCATTGGGTAGGAAACCCCATAGGGTAGGAAACCCCATTGGGTAGGACACCCCATAGGACAGGACACCCCATGGGGTAGGACACCCCATTGGGTAGGACACCCCATAGGGTTGGACACCCCATATTGTCATTGCTTTTTCCAATATCAAGTGTGCCCCAATTGAAAACAAAAAACCAGAATGTTTTCTTAATCAATAGAACATCCTTTCCAAAGGAATTATATAAAAACACACTTGTCAATTTAATTCTGTTGGGAGTCAAAGTTTGTTTCCATAACAAACTGAGTAAGTGACAGATCTAACCTTTGGGAGGTGGTGGTGGTTCAAGGCCAAGCCTGATTTTTTCCTGTTTTTCTTTTTCAATCTCTCGTCTTCTCTGAGTACGAATCTTCTTTCTTTCCTTCTTTGTTAACATGATGGGTACAGATGGAGCTTCTTTGGGTTCAGCTTGAAAGAAGAAATGAAGAATTGATGTCAAAACGATTACCTGGTCTTTCAACTAATTATTTCTTATGTACTTTATATAGAGATTATTCCATGGAAAGTGCACATGAATAATTTCTATTCACAAATTGCAATACATAAAAAAAAACATGTGAGCACAGTGAACAAATAAGTTTTTTGATGCATTGCAACTAGTAAATAAAAATTGTTTAAACACTTTCCATAGTATAAATATATTTTTTTTAATACATACCAAGATTTTTTCACATTTCAATTCAAAGATTGGAAGTGAATGAATGTGAAAATACATTGTTCATCCAGTCAGAGACCCAAACAATATTACTTCACAATGAAAGTACTTCGAAATGAACAATCACATTCCTCATAAAGATATAAGGCAAACAAACAATCTTCAGCTTTGTAATATTGTTGGAGGAAAAATAATTTTTTAATGTTATCTGCAGCCACTTTATATCATCCTGGTTTTGCAGCTCTTTGGATTCAACTGATTTTGTTCAATACAAGATAGAATCAGTGAACATATTGAGGTGGATATGTTTTTCAACCCATTACAAGCTTTGATTAATAACCAACATTTGGCCTACCAGGAGGGTGTTTTTGTATTGGATGTTCAACCAGTGTTGTTATTCCAGCAATGTCATCTTCTACATTGACAGCATCTAAACTGATGTACTTTCCACCTGGTAAGATGTTGGAATCCCACCATTCAACATCTGGAACAGTATCCTCATGGGCTTCTCTTGGCGTGATTAGTGCTAGTTTTGTTGCTGATGAAATCCCTGTCTTCTTAGCTGCTGCTGCAATCTCCTTTTGAAGTTTATCAAGCTGTGCCTATGAGCATAAAAATGTAACATTTTTAAGCATTTTGTTTCAACAACTACATGCATATCTGGCTGTTGGTAATTTAGTGTTAATGACTGAATATTGGTCACCATAAAAAGTTTAAAGGCTGACATTTTGAGTGTTAGCCCTTCGTAAGAGCAATTGACAAAGGGCTAATGCTCGAAACGTCAGCCTTTAAACTCTTTATGGTGGCCAATTTACCTTTTCAACTTAGTTGTTAACACTAAATTACCTCTCCCAATGACGCAGCACCACAGTTTCTTTAGAAACTTACCCCCTTTATTCATTTATCTGGCTATTGGTTTACTTTATAAATACAAGAAAGGAAATATTAAACAACTTCTGACACAGACACAAATGTTGAAGTGGTACAAATAATAGCCCCAAAGACATGGATATACATTTACAAATACATTCAATGTGAACTAGTATTGCAGAATATTGTAATAAAAAAAGAATATTCATATTTTCATACAAAAGTGGTAATTATTGATCAAGATTTTGTAAAGTTATTGTTTTCTAAGACTGACAAAGTGACAAATATAGAGCATGTTACTATGCAGGAAGATAATGAATATTCACTGTACCTTAGCTCTTATTCTCTGAGCTAGTTGTTGAAACTTTCCTTTGTCATGAAACTTAAATCCCCTTTTGTTCCGCTGTGCTGCCTTGATTCTGGTTCAAGATTAAAGAATCTTATCATTAGCCTGATCCACATTCACTAATATTAACAACTGATGAACAGAAATCACTCAATCAATCAACGATTTCAGTTTACTGTGACAAACACAATTAATTTCCCTATTACTTAATTGCTTTTAACTGCCATGCGGTACTTTTGCTACTGAGAACTGAACTACCACTGCAACTATTACTTCTTTATTACGAGACAGATTTAACAACTAACACAACCCATGTATAGCATGGGCTAATCTTGGTGGGTATTAGTAATAAATACATACTGAGTTATGCTGAGCAAAAAGATACAATTACCATGCAATTGCTACTTTATGGTTCAATTAACTAATACATAAGTCAACACAGCAAGCACAACCAGCACAGCAAAAAAAATAACTAGATTTAGCCTTGAAATGGAAGGTAGGAGGGGAGGTTATGAAGTAAATATAGGCATTTCCTTACCCAACCCGTGGATCAAAATACTTGCTTTCATTCAAATCTTCAGGAGGTTTTTCAATCTTAAATTGTTCTGCTTTCTTAGCACGAATGTTAGCCTTTAGTGTTGGCATTCTGCTGGTCAGCTGAATGGCCCTTCCAGATGCATCAACCGTCCGACCTGATTCATCCAAGATCAAGGACCTAGGATGGGAGCTTTCATCCTTCAGAGCACTCACTGAAATTAAACCTGACTTTATCAAGTTTGCCCCAGCACTTGTTAAACCTGAAGTGGAGAACTAAAGGATTGTACAGAAATTAAAATCGCTGGCAAGAAAACAATAACAAAGATCTGAAACTCAACACAGTATGCTGACATGTACTATTGCATAATGCAGAAAATAACATATTGCCAAGAAAAATATTGTATATGTGGATAATAAAATAATTGTGTGTGCTATTAAACAAGAATAAGCAATTCAATTTTTTTAAGACTACAAAAATGCACAAGCCAAAAGCATAAATGAAATTTGCTGTATGTTAAATTCAGAATGCATGTTATTCCTGAATGCATTTGGTTCTGTGTGAAAAATCATGCATTTTGTTTTTTTTTTACTCAGTTTCAACCATCTCTATTGTTCAAAAGTTAACTGAAATAATCTTAACCTATGAGCAAGATGAAAGTTTGGAAAGTACTTGTAAGTTTGTTTATCTTGGGTTTAATATTTTGGCAGTACCAATAACAAATAAATCTATGCAGCTTACTTATTAACTTACCAAGTTGGGTTTGTTTGACAGCTGTGCCTGAATCTTAGCCTGGAGTTCTGCAGCTCTTTTAGCTTTTTCTATTGCTTCACTCATCAATTCTTGTTGTTGTTGCATGCTAGGAATATTCTGTTCAATCAAGGAGAAATAGTGAGTTTGATGTTTCTTTACAATTAATATAGAAGTAATTTCACATGTTCAGAAATATACCTAGGTATCCTAGGTATGTAGGAGGCACGGTGGCCTCATGGTTAGTGCGCTCGACTCCAGATCAGGTGGTCCGGGTTCAAGCCCTGGCCGGAGTCATTGTGTTGTGTTCTTAGGCAGGACACTTTACTCTCACAGTGCTTCTCTTCACCCAGGTGTACAAACGGGTACCAGCAAATGTGCTGGGGGTAACCCTGCGATGGACTAGCATCCTATCCAGGGGGGAGTAGCAATACTCCTAGCCACTTCATGTGAAGAAAACCAGAGTTAAGCACCGGCCCCATGGGCCACTTGAGCCCATATAAAGGCTTTACTTTTACTATGCTGTACTTTAGAACTGATCCATTGACAAATTATACATTTGTGTTATCAGTTAAATTGCTAATTTTAATGTTTCAAGTATATTTACCTGTCCAGGGACTGGAGGTGGGAAGGAAGCTGGAACTGTAGAAATAGCAGCTGGCTGGACTGGTCTCATAACCGTCAGCTGCTTCTTTCGCTCTTCAATTTGTTTTTTCATACTTGCCACCATTTCACTAATTTGGCTGCTACTAAGCGGAGTAGGCCTCTCTACTGTTTCAGGAATGGCTGGGGGTAGAGGTACGTTATCTTCTTTTAAAGCGTCGAACCGACTTTGTTTTCGCTTACTCTTAAGATCGGCAGATTCATTACGATCATCTCCTGGGTCATCTCCAAACACATCTTCTAGCGTCCTCTTTTTTGCTTGAGAACTTTTTCCAGAGGTAGAATTCTTGCTGTTTTTAAGCTGATATACTTTATCAAATAAGTCTGTGACAAACTGAGGAGCTAAATCGTCTAAAAGCGACGAGAGCTTCTCTTGCGATGAAACTCTATCCAAGTTATTCTTCACGCAGTACAAGGCAGCGTTAACAACACTTTTCTCATTAAACCCAAGCCGTCGCTCCACAGTTTCTTCCACCCAAGGCTTCAGTTCCTCTAACTCTCTCCTACTTACAGCCATTCCTTCTCTTCCGAGCTTAAAAATACTTTAGATTTGGATCACAAATTGATTACTACCTTCCGTTCTCCAAACGTTTGCGAGAGAAGAATAAATAGACCTTAATGAGGTCAGCGGTAAAACAACTTTAATACTTCATATAGAGATGTAATGTAAACACAGGAACCTTTATATACCGGATAATTCCTATCCTGTGAAAAAGGTGGGTTGGACATTTCAGTTACATTTTTGGGAAAAATGTAGGGGTAAGTTGCTAATTTCATGATGAGACTGTGAAAAACATGAGACTGTGTTCCCACTTTAATTATTTGTTGGGACAAATGTGGGAGAATATTTCCATTTTAATTACAAGTTGGGGTAACATGATAATTACCGGAATCCAGCTCATAATTCCCATTCCCAGGAAAACTGTGAGCTTCGAGAAAAAACTAAGTTATGGCTAATGTGTTTACCTTTCCTCAAATATTTATAATCAAGGCCACTCGTTTGGGAGACCTTTTCCCAAAAGAATCAGACGTTAAAATAATTCTGTTTTCCGTTCGAAATGTCCTCTTTCCTATTTAGTTTAACAAACGCACTCAGGATGCCACCGATGCCTTTCCCAATGCCTCCAGTAATAGGTATATGTATAATCAAAATTGCTTAACTTTTTGTTTAGCGAAGTGACACGAATAGTTACTGAAACTACAACTGATTTGTTTCTACATGCGGTATCAAAGCTTTTTTACCGCTGACCACTCGTATTTCGGACTTTTTCCGCTCCTAAACTGGCTCCCAACGTATCGCATTTCACGGAAGTCCCAATCCGCTGACCGGCTGACAAGGTACAGACGGACTACAATGGTATCCAGGCTCTTTCAATTCTTCGTTCAATTTCGCGCGCTTTTTTTCTTTATAGAATCAAAAGTTCGATCAGCACTGTTTTTTTTCTCTCAGAATGGGAATTCACGGTCTTTCCAAGGTGATCGGAGATCATGCTCCCTCTGGATCAAAAGAGAACGAGATTAAGAACTATTTCGGTGAGTCAGTCAATTTCATGGTCGAAATGTTTCTGAGGGTATGCCACTTCATGTTTGGACATATGTGAAAGCAAAGTATGTTTGCATGTATGGAGGATATTACTCGGTGGCGAGAAGATATGAATTTAATGCTCGAGTGGTAAGAACAATTTCTCCCGAGTGAGTGCAGTGACTTGCCTTGAAGGCATAGAGTTCATTTTTTCGAGCTAACGCGTAATTTTCTTTTTGTTACAAGGACAAGACATATGTATGGTAGAGATTAGCAAGCTGGCTTTGATACAAATACTGGGTATTAATACAAACAAAATACCCGATGCCCAAATTGCATTACAGTTTTCCATTTTTTTTTTATACTTTTGTTACTTTTAATGCCCTTAAAGCCTGAACAATTTCACTCGACTTTTATATTTCTCCGACATATTTTATTTACAAACATGACATGTAAACAACAAAGATTTTATACAAACTTGTTTTAATATACAAGTAGTCCTTTTAATTAATTACTGATATTATTTTTTTGTTTTGTTTTAATCATATGGTTCAATTTTTAGTGCAAAGCACTTATGAATTAACTATTCATCTTTATCTTTTATCTACATATAACACCAGTAGCTGGGCCAAATTACATGTGAACTGATTTTCAATAAGCTGGGGAAAAAATTATATTATTTGTTATGGCATGACTCATCAGATACCATTATTTCCAGGTTCTTTTACTATGAACTTTTAAGGGTGGTTCAGTAATATCTTCTATTTCTCTCTTTTGTTGCAACTTTTGGGAATTCCTTAAAAATCTTAAGATAATTCAACATTTTCTTTTTGTTATTGTCATCTTTATGTTGTTTAGAAAATGTATTTACATATTCATTGCTTACCGCAACAAATCTGGGGGTGGCTTTTATTCCAAACAATAAACAAAGTCATTTCATTCAGCAAAGTTTGATGCTACAAGTGTTTTAGTTCCCATTAAAATGCCCCAGTCCAAATATTAAATATATTTATATACACCTCTTTTCTGGCAAAAATGTTGCAATTTGAGAATATATGTTAAACATTTATACCTTTTTTTTCATAAAAAATGGAGATGGACAATGTAAGTACAATTCACATCTAGGGAACAAAACCTTTTTTTTCTTGAGCAAAAGTGAAACAAAGACTTTGGGAACTTTTACAGCTGCTATTGTATTTTCCTTTGAGAGATTTTCCCTGTAATTTATTCTGTCCACACCTTTTTAATGGAAAAAGAAGAGGTATATATATTTTGAAATAGCAATGTTTGTGAAAATGAGAGTGTATATATACATGTATTTTAAAGTCATACCCCTCAATTGAATTGTATTTCTTTGCATAAAAAACCATTATTCTTATTTTTTATGTTTGCTCCTTTACTTAATAAGACTGTAATAATTTTGAGCACTGTGAGTTAGCTGTTTAAGTGATCCTTGAAACCATTTTAGGAAGGAAGATTGCAATTGATGCATCCATGAGCATTTATCAGTTTCTCATAGCAGTAAGATCTGATGGAAGTCAACTGACAAATGAAGCAGGAGAAATAACCAGGTAAATGCTTTTGGATAATGTGTACTTACAGCATCTGTTGTTCAAGTATCTGTTGACACTTATTAGTCAACTGGGTGTTGGCTGATATATCAGCTGATTCTCACCCAACATTTCAAACAAGTATTGGCTGACATGTCAACTGACAGTGGTTGCCTCTCCACCTACTCATGTCATGCCAATACTTTACAGACACTCTGCCAATACTTTACCTCTACCAGTACCTTAACACTTTCATTTTAGATTCGACCCTACAGTGAAAGTGAAAGGAAAAGAACATGTCCATGTATATTCTTGTTCAGTATTTCCAGCAACATAATGGAATCCTGGGTGATAGGAAATATTACTTAGCTTGTGGGTAAGGGGTTGTACTTACTGAGCTGGCAAGTAGGTGTACAAGAAGGGAACATTTACTGAACCAAATGAGCTTAATGTCTTTATCTCAAAGTGAACTTTCATGGGCAATATCTTGTAACAATCTTCAAAACATTTATTTGGATGCGGATCTTTGTACTCTATTTGTACATTATTTGTACTCTACTTTGTGCAGTTGGATGATAATGATTGATACTTAGTGGTCTGTAGTGCTCATGATCCAGAATTTTTAGAGATTCTCAATAAACTAACCAACTTTGTAGCATGAAACTTATGTAGGGCTGATTTTTATTTGAGAGTTATCAATATTTTTTATTTCTTTCTCATGTGGAACTGTTAGGTTTTTGTAGAAATCCTATGAAAATAACTCAATTTAAACAACAATCATGACAGAAATGACAGAACTGGCCAAGAAACTTTTGTAGGGAACTTTCATAAGAAACACAATATTATCTTTACTGACGTGATCAACATTAATACTATTTATCATTGGTTTTTAGTCATTTGATGGGCATGTTTTATCGAACTATCAGGATGATAGAGAATGGTATCAAACCTGTGTAAGTATACTTAAGTTGATTGTTATCAATAGTTTAAAGTTAATATTTCAGTGTGGACGTTTATGTTGGATATCATATTTAAACGCCACTAAGGCTTTGCTAGTTGTAAGCTTTTAGATATGTATGGTAATTGTTAGTAGCTTATGACAGGTGCTTTTCAAAGAAAACTTTGGCATGGCATGTCAGGGAGGGGCTGTCATGACCCCAAGTGTTGTGTTATTTTACTGTTTGTACCGAGTTCCGAGGAATCTGCCTCTACTTATGTTGACGGTCCAGTGATCTTTACTGGTCTTCAATACTCCAAGACAGACTGTTATAAAGTAAGTTATTCAAGTAACCAGAGATAATCATGATATTATGAAATAAGGTTATATATTTCTCATCAAAGTGTGTATTTCTTACCTGAACATTTCTTGTAGATATGTTTTTGATGGCAAGCCCCCTCTTATGAAATCTGGGGAGGTAAGTATTATAACATATTAACCTGAAGTAAGGGTGATCAGCATTCCAATTGAATTCTGAATGTTTTACTGAATTAGCTGTCAGTGAAGTCTGTACTCAAGCCTATTGGCCCACCCAGCAGAAGCTTATCCCAGTTTCCTTAGCATGAAGCGATTAGTCCCCCTTGGATAGGATGTCAGTCAATCACAAGGTTTACCCCCAGCATTTTATCAGGCTTTCCTGACAATCAGCCAGTACCCATTAATCCTCTTGGGTGAAGAGAGGCACTGTGAGAGTGAAGTTTTTTGCCCAAGAACACAACATATTGACACAGCTAGGTCTTGAACTCAGACCTCTTGATCCGGAGTCCAGTGCATTGACCATTAGGTCACTGTGTCTCTCAAACTTCAACCTTAATAAGTGTCAATAAGTTGTGATTAACAACTGAGTGATTTGATTGACTTCATACTTCATACTGACTTCTGCTAAACCACAATTGTCATCTCTTTATGATACAGATTTTGTTAAGTAAATTTACCAATGCATACAATTTTTAAAAAACCTTCACTACCACAAAGTTTTCATGATTTTGTTTTAGCCATGCATGTCAAAGTTATTTCTCATGGTTTGATATATAATATTCATCGGTATCAGAGGAGTAATTTGTAATGAAACAATTATGTCGCAAACATGTAATAGAAGGTAAAGTGGTTGTGATTTCCATCATTCACACAGTTGGCAAAGAGAAAAGAAAAGAGAGAGGAGGCACAAAAAGGACTCGCCCAAGCAGAGGAAACTGGTTTGTTTTGTCTTTGTTACAAATGAATTGGACTGAAACAAATATTCTTTCATGTAAAATGTATGTTTGGATGTTTTTGGTTGAAACTATAATTGCACTTAGTCCAACACAGTTCAAATGTTGAGCTGTCAGGTATTATGCATTCAGTTCTTTGATTCACAGACATAACTAGTATGTATTGCGTAACTACTGGACTAAAAAAGATATTACAAAGGACATAACAATCAACTGGCTTATGTGACTTTTTATATAGTTTGATATGAATGAAAATGAAAAAAATTGTTTGAAATTACAGGTTTGTTTTTATAGCCATATGCTGTGTCCTGTTTTCTGTTTATTAACAGGTGATGCTGAAAGCATGGAAAAATTTTCTCGAAGACTTGTAAGCAGTTTTTTTGCTCCAGTTTATGATATTGAGAGAAGTTTAAAGTTGTAATTTTAAGGTGCCTGATGAGGTCAGTTTGCCTTGCTGAATTTTAAACCCTAACTTCATTAATTTTGAAAAAGGTTTACTTGTTCACTGTTAGTGGATTTTAGACAAAACTTTTAAGAATTTATCGATTTCCACTTGTCAAAGGTACATTTTTAGTGAAAAATTGCCATCATGAAAGGAATCAGTTCAGGATAAAAGTGCATACTGAAATTCCCTAAATATCCAAAAACAAAGACAATATATATATATAATTTATGTAGGACTTGTATCGAAAAAAATTTTTACCATTTTCATTTTCCAGAATCCTTTAAGCATGATTCTTTATTAATCTCATGGTCTGTGTGAGTTTTCAAAATTTCAGAGAAACTTGGCAAGAAAGCTATGATGATTTATAACACTTAAACCTGATTCACAATTTATAGAATAATTTTAGCTTGTTTTAGGAAGTAATTTAATCACTCTTCCATTAGGTGAAAGTGACCCCAGAACACAATAACGAGTGTAAGAAATTACTTAAGCTGATGGGAATTCCATACATTGAGGCAAGTTTGTATAAGCAAGACTATAATATGATATCCTTGATAAGCACTTTCAAATAATTATCAAGGTGTAATGGTTGGTGAATTAACAGGGTTTTGAAATTGCACTTTTATGCAGGTATTTGAAAGAAAATCCTATGAAAACATTTACTAAGAGAGCTGGATAATAGAACACAATATAGAAAGGAAGGCTGTTTGATGAAGCTGTTTCTTGTCCCACTATATGTTGCCTCAAGCATGAATTACTAGAGCAGAGCTGTTAAAATGGAAAATGTTTTCTCACTCATTAGCCCCTGAAATGTTGTTGCAGATTTTGACAATTTGTGGCTTTGTTTTTCCTCCACACCCTTCTACATTTTAATGTTTTCAGTGCAAACGCTTCGTTGTTCAAAAGAAAAGGGATGTAACTTTCAAATGGAAGTAAAAGTAGAAATATTGACAGCTCAAAAGGGGATGAGGTATAAGAGCACATTCCTGGCATTTTTCTTTCAACTTTGCGGCCAGATAAACAAACTGAAATGGTTACCCATCTCAGTAAGTTTACATGTTACCAGTTTATAGAATGTGTCATTTTGTTCATCTGTGCCCAAGTTTTCCTGAATTATCAACAATTGAACAAATTGCTTACTTTATTAAACCAAAATATTATTTGTTTGAATTTAAATAACATGCTCCAGTCAGTGATGATATATTTTTCTGTTAGGCTCCTTGTGAAGCAGAAGCGCAGTGTGCTGCATTGGTGAAATCAGGCAAAGTATGTTATTTCATAAAGTGCAGATATGGTTGTGGGGTTTTTGTTTTCACTCCTAGACAAAGTGATAACAATTATTGTGTTTATAGGTTTATGCTACAGGAACAGAAGACATGGATGCTCTCACATTTGGGTCAAATGTTCTCCTGAGACATCTTACTTTTAGCGAAGCAAGGTTTGTAAAGTTTCAAGTTGTTAACTTTTTTCCATTGAAGATATTGCAGGCACACCAGGTGATATGTTAGTGAATTTAATAGCACAAAATGTTCTTTCTTTTTGCCTTGCACCTTCCCTTCAGCTGTAGAGATTGTTAAGTTGATGGCATGTTACATGTGTGTGTCATGCTAAAATCCAGACATAAATAAACCTCGTGACAAGACAAAAAACTTCTTTCTCTATCTCTTTACCAAGCTCAAAACTTACCATCTCTCTTATTTCTATCTACAAACTTAGAATTTGTTGTTTAGAGATAATAACTCAAAACAAAACTTCAAAAATTTGCCATGCATTTTGTAAGCTCTTTTTGAAGCAGATTCAAGATAGCATCAATAACTGTGCCATGTGAGTTAAATTGTGTCCTAAATATGTCACCACAGAATAGTCTCAAATCAGAAGGAAGTGCAATGTGATACATTCTCTGCAATGTTTATAATGCTTGTCTTGTTACGCAGGAAAATGCCAATAAGAGAATTTTATTTGGACCGCGTACTTGCAGAGCTTGAACTTTCACATGATGAGGTAAGCAGTTCATGTATATAACTTGGTGAAGCCTGCCCCTTTTGTTTGGAATTAAGCCTATGTGTTGTCTCATTTTGCTATGTCACAAAAAGATAAAATAAGAGTGACACTTGTTTTGTGCTGTCTATGTGGTGCATAAATATTTTGGGGGTTTTAATTTCTTTGTTTACTCTTAATTTACATTCCCCTCTGTCTTGTATTTAATATCATGACCAACAAAAATCTATCTGGTTTGAAAATGTTTATACCAACTGAAGTAAACTTTGAACCACAATGTTTTAAATTAGATGTCCAAATCACAGTGTTACAATATGAACCACATGGTCCCTAAGAGCCTTTTTTAGTCAATTTTCAAGAATCAGAATCACAGAATAACTATTTCTCATATACTTCTTTAAAGTTTGTGAAATTTTTATCATATATCTTTAGAAAATGTGAAGAACAACTCCCTGAATTTGCAGATTTTAATTTACAAGTTTGTCGGTGTTGACAAAAATTAAGAATGATATGATAATGCAGTACTGATGTAATAGGAAGCAGCTAGTAAATTATTTTTTATTTCAGTCCTGCATATTTTATCCAACCTCTGGTGTAGCAGAACTGCATCATGATGGGTGACTATGTAGCATGTCAGAGTTATTAATGAAGCTATAGTTCATATCTCTCACTATTTAGTTTGTTTATGTTGCATGATCTTTTTGTTTGTGACAGTTTATTGATCTTTGTATTCTATTGGGATGTGACTACTGTGACTCCATCAAAGGTATTTTTTTCTTTTTTGTAAAAGACGTTCTAGGTGGCATGTTGATTTTCTTATTACCATGTGGTTAGGTGTTTATCAACTGCCCATTTTAAGAAATTATTTCATTTGCCTTTTTAGTGATAAAAAGTAGAAAGAAATGTAAATCAAATCAGAAAAATTAAAAGCTGGTTTCTTCAGAATATTTCAGAGATTTGCCAATGTCAATGTGGTTTACTCCTTAACTCTTCAGGTATTGGGCCTAAAAGAGCAGTGGATCTAATCAAGCAATATAAGTCCATTGAGGAAATCGTCAAACACATTGATACAAATGTAAGTGTGTTTGCTTATTTTTGTATTATTCTTTAGATTGATGCACTTCACCAGTTTGGCAAAAAGTTTACGTAGTTAAAATCAACTAATTAAAGAGTTAAGAAAATTTGTTTTGAAGGTAGTTGATGTGGGAAACAATTTGATCAAGAAAGTTGTTTGTCACTTGATGGTTTAAACTTTTCTTATAATTTTGTAAAAGTGACCCTTTTTTTTCTTGATTGAATCTGAAAACTCTAAAAAAAATTATAGCTTTCAATTAATGTAATTAAATTATGTGGGATTTTAAAGTTTTAGTATCTCCTCACAGGTGAACTCAAAATGCTCCTTTTCACTTTAAATGTTTTTTATTGATTGTTGTTTGAAATTTTTCAGGTTAAAATATTTTCAAGTTGTTTCAATTTTATTTTTCTCTTTTTAAAGACTATTGATATTCTTGTATTAAAGAAAAACAAATTGAACTAATTTGAAATCATTTTGACCTGATATTCATGTTTAACTACAACATGTTTACTTTTAAAACAACAATTACATTTGACTGTAAGAAAATGTATCTCTAAATTTATGAAGTCCACCTAACACGATACCTTAATTGATAGATATTTAATTGCATGATTCACCACTCTCCTACTTTCAAGTTTTCCTTCAATATGTTTTTATGATTTCTCTTTTCAGAAATATATCTTACCTGAAGAATGGCCATATCAGGTAATTACACTTGATCAAAGTTTTTCAAGCTTTGTATCATCATGAACTGTACATGACTTTCCCATCCAAACCATTTTTTCTGACCACAGTAGGAGCCCTTCTTTCAAAACTGTAATTCCAGATATTTCTTTGGCCATCGATGTTTTGACATGCTCCAGAATTTCAAGGATGTAGGGTTGGTTGTGACATTAGACTCCTAGCTTGTCATAACAGACTTATCTTGGTCCTGAAAGTCTTGATGAAAGACGTCTTACATTTTTTTCTCCAAGTGAAGAGTTAGGGCCCTAAAAATTTATCCTTTACTGAAATACTTCCAGAAAAGTGTACAGTTTATCTAGTGGTTTTTAAGGTTTATTTTGTTTTATGATTTGGCCCACGACCATGTCAACACAACTGAAACATGATGTCAAAATCAACTTACAACTGTAAGGTCCTTTTCATAACATATGGACGGCCTGTATAAACTGTTGTGAAGGGTGAATACTTGATGAAAGCTGATCTCTAAGCTTTAAAAAAAAAAAAACTAAATCTTTTTCTCAATATTTCAATGAAAACTTTACTTATGAACTCTGATCTTCAGATCTTTTCTCCTTTTACTTTTTACGTGTAAATCAGTAGAATTTTATAGTACACTGTGCCTATTTTATACACAGGAAGCCAGAGAATTATTCAAGAACCCAGAGGTTTTGCAAGATGAAGACGTAAATGTGAGTTACTGGAAGTAGTGAGGCTAAGTTAATGTTATGTCTTGTTTTTATAAACATCCATTTTGTGACATGAAGAAGAAGTTTGTCTGCCAAGCTAAATGAATTTATCTCCACATACTAGTATACAACTCAGCAAAACATGCAAATCTGGGGCCTCAGCACTGTCTAATAGGTGTACTATGTTAGTAAATTTGGGTTTCTTCATTATTTTAGTGGTCTAGGTTTGTGTTGTGAAATCTATTGGCCACTGTTCAATTTGGAAAAACTGAAGTATTTTAGAAAAATACAACGACATGAATTGCAGTGTCTTTAACTGCTCTTTTAATTTCCCATCTGATTTTTTTTTAGCTTAAGTGGGAGGCTCCAAATGAAGAGGAACTTGTGAAATTCCTAGTTGAAGAAAAAGGATTTAAGTGAGTAGAACAGGAACCAACAACTCTGTTTTAGAGGTGACCAATTTGGCTGTCTTATACTGAGAGATGTTTCAGGTTATTTGGAGTTTAGGTAACTGGGAAAAAGTCTGATTAATTATTCTATTAGTTGAAAAGTATAAAAAAGGTATGACCTATTTTTGCACTTTGGTTTTCCAAAGATACGTAAAGTAGTTGTTGAGTTACAATATGATGATTATCTTCATTGGTCTCTCTTTCTTTAGAGAGTAAATACAAACAATCTGAATAAATACAAGGACATTAAACGACCCAAACTGGCAGGAAGCAATTAACTATGAACAAGGCACTGACAAGAAATTAAATTCTAGGCAATTGATAACAAATCCACTGGGTAACAGAATGATAGCAGGGCCAGCACTGTAATCATTTGGTCAGGCTACCACTGCCTCAAGATGAGGGTAAAACTAATTGTCAGTTTATCGACATGTATTTAGTTGTTTCACATCAAGTCGCTTCGCCACAAAGTTGTTTCGCTTTAAGACAAGTCTAAACAACTTGTTCTGCAGAGTTTACCTAAATAATTATGCCGATAAATTTGCCAAAGTCTTTTTTACTTCAGAGTTACTTTTAACTTGCTGTCGGGCCTTTTGAGACAGAGGCAAGCCCTCTACAATTTTGAGTGCTGCGTTTTCCTAGCTGATGCTTGTTCAAATTTTCGCCAGTTTCCCCGTTAAGAGAAAAAAAATAAACTAATGAAAGTTTTAGTGAGTTTCAGATATTGTGGAAGATTTGTTTAATATCTTTCCATGTTTGTTGTTGAGTTTAAAGGAGAATATCAGTCTTACGAAAAAGACTTTAGAATTGTAATGAAAAGACTTAAAGTGAAACGATGAGACACACAACTTCTTACTCATCCACTATTTTTGTTTTTGATGTACGTTTCTTGTTAGTGAAGAGAGAATTCGTTCTGGAGTAAAAAAGGTCTTAAAGGCACGTAAAGGTTCTACTCAAGGAAGGCTGGATTCCTTTTTCAAGGTTGTCCCTTCACCAAGTCCTCCAATTAAAAGGAAGGTGAGTCAATGACCACGTTTGAAATAATCATTCCTATTTAGATAAATGATAAAATTTGGAGTGAGAATATTGACAAAATATGTTTTATTTAAAAAAAAAAAAAAGTAAAATTTAAATTTGAATGGGATTGTTGGTTAAATTTTGTAAGTAGTAATGATAAAGTACTAAATTTTTATACCATTTTCTGTTCTTATCTATTTTATAGAACTTACGAAATGTTAGTTTTTGAGGAGGTAATAGTGTGCTATCATCTACAAGGTCATATTGAACACCTCCTCAAACGAATGCTAGAGTAGAATTTCTTTACTTCAGTGTGACTACATCAAGTTCAAAGCAAATGTTTTTGACAAAAAGTTAGCTTTGAGCGCCATTGAAATGACCAGTAAATGTCATGACCAACAGGTGGAAAAAGCCTTTCATGAACTTTTCTTCTTGATCTCCTTTTAGAACGAAGACAGCAAAGGACCAAAGACGAAGAAATCCAAACCTAACGCAAGAGCAATAGGAAAGAAGCCCAAATAAAGGACAGTTTTGGATCAGATATCATTGACAGAAGTGATTGTTTTTTCCGTTCATCCATACTCGAACTTCTGGTTAAACTTTATTGATAAAGAGAAAAGACAAGCAAACACGTTAGAGCACAAATTTTACATCTCCCTGTTGATTGACCAAGAAATGAAACAAAATAGAAAATTGGACAGAAAAGTGAATAATCAAAAGGAACGAACTGAAAAACTTGGACTGAATTCATCTACATCGCTGTTTTACATAACCGTGCCTAGCAGAGAAGAAATTGCTTCATATTTCTTTCTGACTTTAGATATTTTATAAGTTACGGAAATACAAATAGAGTTCAGTGTCTTCATATTAGGAAGAACAGTCTTTCAACATCTACCGCCTTGAAAGGAATTGAATTATTTCATTAGTTAAAACATTTCGTTCAGGCTGTATTTCTTTTGTTGTACTGGTGCATCAGTCACCAGCATATTGAAACAAGTCAAATTGAGAAAGATGGGTTTGCTTTACTTGGATCTCTTAATGCCTTGTAGACACTGTCCTAAGAAACTATTACACGGGGAATAAAGAAGGATATAAATTTGTTGTAGTTGCTTCATATTTTTTTAAGTGGGCCGAATTTTATCGTACATATTATCAGAGATGAATAAAATGCCATATTTCTAAGGGAAAGATTTGTCGAAATTAACATGTACAGTATCCTTTGTATTTCATCGTTACAGCCCCAGGGAAAGGGTTATCATTAGGAGTTCCTATTTCCATTGGTCTAAATCACCATTATTGTGATTCCTCAGATAAAAAAAGTTATTGAAAATTCTTTTTTAAACTTTCCATAAAGGTTCCCTACCAATGTTTGTTTCGAAAAATACAATTAAAATAATAGATCACTGTACTTGGTTAAAAGATATGGTGAGGAGTTTTCCGAAGACCAGATGATGAACTCATAAACACGACACAAGTCTGGAGAAAAGTTTTGTCCCCAGATTTTTCTTTAAAATGCAGCAAATTAGAAACTTTAAAAAATACTTACAACCACTCAAATAGATCCAATTGTGATTATACACTGTAAATTTATTTTCTTTTTTACAATTATATACTTACAATGATAACAATGAGTGGAGTGATCAGTGTTGGAGTAAACAGTACAGCCAAAAATATCCAATTTTCAGACAACTCGACTGATTGTTAGAGTTATTTACTCTTAGTAACAAAAGATGCTCTTCAAGACTATTGAATCATAAGCCTAAAACAAAGCTCCAGAATACTCTTAGAAACTGATTTGTCAAGAATATGTCCCTTTTTAAAGGCAAATGAAAGCTTAATTGAAGAATAATAGCAATTACAGGCTGTTTCAGCAACAAATCCAAAAATTTTTCCTCCCCAAAACCCCCAAATCCATCAGTCAGGTTTAAGCCTGCAAGAATAAAAGTCATATGTCAAATAAGTAAAAACTGTGGTTGATGAAAATAATTTGTTAGTTGTGGCTACACAATGGTCACTGAGGGTTCATAACTGACTCAACAGCACAGACAGCCTGTACTTGAGGAATACATTTTTAATTAATAATTTCCTGTTAACTCTTAACTTAAAAACATGTTTAATTCAGCACAGACTTTTAGGTTTGGTATGACTCCACCAATTAATTAATTCAATTTCCTCAACATTGGCCTTGAATTCCAGCCAAATTATAATATATGATGAAGAAATACATATCACAAAAAGAGAACCACAGCTTTCCTATTTGGGGATTGATAGTAAAGTTTACAACACTAGCAGCCCTTTGTCAATGACAAAAGGTGTCGCTTTGATTTAATGTGTGTGCACCATTTGAGTGGAAACCATGCACAGTCACCCAACACACAATTCAATAATAAGAAATCATCTTACTTAAGCTTTAGACTAAAAATCTATACAAAGTCATATACCTAGATTTACCTTGGTTTTATTTTTTTTGCACTGGTAAGTAAAGCTTGAATTCTGCTGGTAGTTCATCTTCTGAGTACAAGCGGTCGGAAAAGTAAACTCGTCTTATCCTGCAGTTGGCATGGATCTGCAGTTATGCATTCACATAGAAAACATAAAAAAGTGAAATGAGCTTGACATTATCTAAAAAAACTAGAAAAGGCTGAGGAATTGATGACACTGGAGGAAAAAAAAATAGTCCATGCCCTGCCAACGTTCATCAAGAGGAAGTATGTACCTTAACTCTTTAAATATTGTACTCAATGTAAAAACAGTATTGTCTATAGTAAGTGATGAGTATATTGCCAGGTATGAAAGAAAATTTAATTAAATGTCAGATGTGTAAATTGAATGTTAGGTTCACAGTGTCCATATTGTGAAAATAATAACAATTATAGAAGTAAAATACAGAAAATATACACCTAATGATTGTCAGTTTAGGGTTTTTTTTGCAAATTGGACACCATGAGAGTGATTAAAAAAATTGAACTGGCTGGTACATTTGGTGACACAGAAGGTTGGCTATAGATTTATTTTAAATTGCAAGGAGTTAAACACTTTATTTGAGGTCTCTAAAAATAAAGAAGCCAAATAAGTAAATATACAATAGCAAATCATTGAACTACATTCCCTTTTCTCAAAGTTTTTCTACCAAGATAGATTCCACTGGGTTTAAAGGATAAAATTAAAATGACAGGAAATGCATTTGTCTCTTATCTATCTAAGGCTAATACCTGAACTCGAAGTGTTTCAATGTAATTTGTACCATAAGCCCGTCTTGTAAAATCTGAAAGATTAAACTGTGGAAAAAATACTCTAAGCGATGTTATTAGACATTATAAAATAACACAAAATAACACGCTCAATTACATACAATCATTCCTCCAATTGAGGACTGGAGTGCTTCTTCAAAAGTTAAAATGAGACACGAGAAGCACTTATTTTATTTTTTATTAAATAAAGGCCAGATGTGAGGTTGTAATCAGTAAATTTTCTAGATGCATGATCTAAACTGAGTGGGCAGCTGAATTAAAAAATTCTTGCATAGCAAGCCTGGCATGTTACAAAGCCACAATCACTTCCAGGGGGTCTGGGTCCACATGCTCTCCCAAAAAATTTGAAATTTGAGACTCTCTGAGATGTAATTTCTTGCATTCTGGGACATGTTTGAGTAACATGTTAAGGCCAGACATTGATGTTGGCATTGATTCAAAAGTACTTATTTTCCATCTTTGTCTTCCACTTTACCAACCATCACATGTTCAGTAGAACAGCAAAGAATGATGCCCCTTTGAATATGCTGAACTAAACTCAGTGCCCTTAGTGTACATCTATGAACTTACTGAGACAAATATTATTTCCTAGTTTAAAAAATTTCAACCCTACCCACACACATTGTGCACATTAACAAATACTTCCTTATGAGGTAGCAACCAGAGGAGGTCAATATTATGGCTGCTGATGCATATTTATTAATTGAAAGCAAGAGCAAATAAATTTCAGAAACAGACCCTCAGCTCATGCGTAATCCTTGTACCAGCCAAATTTGTGGGTCATCCTCATTCTAGGCAGCAAAATCTTTGTCAAGTGCACTTTTTCAAGATTTTAATGTGAAACTTCAAAGATATGCAACATTAAATAGTGTTGCATGGCACTTTGTGGCTTTTATCATTATTCCCCAAATGGCACTGACTAGTATTACTTCTATTTCTTTTTTTTAAATTTCTTTTTTTTAACTAATTATGCTTTGTAACACTTGGGGGATTAATTTCCATAAAAGGTGAAACATTATACGGGCTGGTAACTAAGACTGAGGAAACCCATCAGAACATCAGCAATGCAAAATCTGAGACTAATAACTTGACAAATAAATATATATATATAATTGGTTACATTCACATAATGTTGGATATCCTCTCCCAGTACATAAGAGCCACAAATGTATCTTTTAAATCTTACACCAATGCGCAAAGAATAACAAACAAGAAACTAGAGTTGATGTGAGTTTGCAAGCTCATAGAGGAAACAACTGAGGCGTAGCAACAACATATTGCAATCACTACTTTAGCAACATTCTACCTGGATTTGATTCCATCCGTCATCAAGCCTCATGGGCATCGTACAAATGAATGGTTTCACTCGCGTGGTTGATTGGTAGTTAGAAGCGCGGAATCGTCTTTTAACATTCTTGTCGTCCAGGACCTACAGGAAGTGTCAACAAATGAATTGAATTTGCGAAATGAGATTGTTTAAAACTATCAAATGTTTCAATTCTGTCAAACTTAAAAATACAGAGTTGAAAACTATCACATTTACCTGAACTTCAAACGTGAAGTATTTTTTCAAATTTTTAATGATCATCACAAGGAATGGTAGCTTGATTCCAAGAGTCTTCTTTGGGTCAGCGGGACATGTGATATAAGTTGTACTGGAGTGGGAGAAAAAACGAGTTCATTTTAGAACGGAGTAAGACGAAGATTTACCGCAGTAGCACCATGTAATTATTTCCAAAATATAAATAAGAATGAACATATCATAATGTTCTTCTTTACGGATAGGCTTACTATAAAATTACCCCCTAATTCACTGCTGATCTTTACGATCGATGAAAGGGTTTCAACAACTTTTGAATCATTTTGAAGATAAAACTCATACCTGACGTTTGTTCCGACGACCTCCAAAACAAGTGACTGAATGTCGTTATCGGTTATTCTCTTTATATGTCCATTTCTAACCTGAAAGGTCGAAATTACAGAAATTAAGCTAAGTACATTGGAAAACTCTCTCACAGAGCATTAGTAAGCTTACTCAATGCCACAAGTCTGCTTACTTTCTTGTCCCAGATTTGCAAAGGCTTGCTGCCAATGCTATATAATATGGATAGGAATCCTGACTGAAACGTATTCTTAAACATGCCTTCTTATGGTAACAATTTTTTATAAATCAAAGCCTCTGCTTTCTTCAGCACGACCGTAACTAGCGTGTTGTGGCTCAAGTGAACAGTGGTTGTCGTTAAGCACAAGGTCTGTTTGTTTGTTCATGCGCGGCAGTTCAGTTACTATGGAGACTGAGCGACGCGCGAGGGATGTTTACCTCGCTTCCAAGTAACAAAAGAAGACTCACGCTACCCTAGAGAACCATGTAGTTACGAAGCTTTAAAGGTTGATCTGTATAGTTGAGTGTGAAGGTGTTTCTGCTGGAATTACTATCAAATCGAAAAATGAGAAGCCTTAGACCAAAAAGAAGATCCAAATTCAGATCTAGAAAATATGTTAGCGAAGCAAGTCATTGGCGTTTGGGTATCCCCACTTGGGATGCTAACATGAAGTCCAATGTCGACCCTTCTTGGACTTACAAAATTGCTTGCTGAAGGCAGAAAAATCGCTGCTGAAAGTCAAAGTAATCCCCAAAACGTCTACCAGGATTGTGTTTAGGGAGGGAAAGCTTTAGAAAGTCGTAAAGTGTTTTACAAAAGAGATATTGAGAAGGGAAATCATGTTCACGGTCAACTAACCGTGAGTAATAAGAGCCTTTCATGTAAATTATCAAGTGACCAAAAATTGTTTGTAAATTAATTTTATGCTAGCGACCTTTATCATCATCATCATCATCATCAATAGCAGACATTCTAACCCTCCCGATGTGGTCGAGAGTCTCCCGATTTGACGTGTTGCCTCACGCTCTCCCTATTTTTATCAGGTTCTCCAGATTAATCATAAAATTCCGATAACAAAGAAAAATTGCTTATCTTAGAAGTATTTTTGCGATCCGTTTTTTGTGGCTCCCCACTGAATGCATTTATGCCTTGTGGACAGTAAGTTTACAGTTATTCACGATCTTTCAAAGTGGCCATTTAAAAGTAGTAAAAGAAATCTCCCTTTTTGATTCTGAAAAGATGGATTGACAACAGCAAAGAAAAGCTCAAAGATATCTGTGATAAGGACAATGACCTTATATAATACCAAAAATATGATGCCAAAATGCAGGAAATGCCACTTGAGAGAAACTAAATTTGAAAAATTTCCTGGGGGGAGGGGCATGCCCCTAGACCCCCCAAGAGGCTCACACCTTTGGCACAAAATCCTATTTCCACTCTAAAGGTGTAGAATGTCTGCTCTTTGCCACTAGTGTCAAGGACTCAATCCCAGTGCCACTGCCACATGTGTGGGGTCATTGGGCTTTTCATAGCCCATTGCCTGAATAGACAACCCTTAACATCATCCATGATACTGTTCATATATATATGTATATAATTAAAAAATATTCAGCTTAATTGCATATTATGCTATAATTGCATATTACTTGTCGCATTCACTTTGTGCCTGTAGGTTATGTTGGTGACAGCATTGTCAACTATCCAGGCACAATTTTTGTCAGCAGAATTACCTTGCAAAATGATACATTTCCATCTCAGAAAGCTAGAAAATGCATTTCTGAGAGTCTAATTTCAAAACATTTTTAAGAGAGCATGGCCCTGCAACCCCTTAGAGGCTTGGCCTTTGCCCCTCTGTTATAGATTGACTCCTCTGGGAAATATGATTTTTATCCCCCCTCCCCCTCAGAAATCCCAGGCCTTCAATAGTGGAAGGAAGGGGTACAGATTGATAATGGATAACAATTTTTGAGGACTTTGCACAATGAGAATCTTAAACATGCAGGATGGAAAACCAAATTTATAGTAGTTTGGGTAGAAGTACTACGTAAAGAAGAAATAAGCCCTTTAATTCAGTTCCCATGACTGTGAGGTACAAAAGGAATTTGGAGACAAAAGACAAATAAAAAAGCACCCTCCCTTCTCAACCTTCTAGGCATTCTATTACAGTATTTTCTGTAAATGAATGCTATTGAAGCAACAGCAAAAATGAAGCCTGACATAAAAATCTAGTCTGGACAGGAGTTTAACCCATGAGCTTTGTTTATTAACACAATGCTTTCAGATTGTAGAGTAATTCCTAGACCACCAGCTCCAAATCCCACTTGAGTAACCTGCAACTCTGATAACTTCTATTATATCTTATGCCCCAGTTCACCACTGAACCATTGTGCAGAGTTTTTCGGCAGGGGGGGGGCAGGGAGGGGGGAGGGGGGGTGAGTAAGTTTGTCTGAGGGTGCAGGATGCATTTCTTTTGAATGAAATAATAACAATCTTTAAACCACTATTCATTGCAGTGGAGGTGACTAGTGTGTTGCGTGGTAAGAAATAAGAGAGAATAAGAGAAACTATGGTGGTAAAGCATAAAAGAAAAACAGAAAACCAATAATAACTGCTGAGGCCAAATGCCTGGCAGCCCGGCCTGGTCTCAAATAGTCTAAATGTCTGGCAGTCAAATTTTCACAACACTTCCACTAGAGGGTTCTTTCTCACTTCTTAATGACATCTGATTATTGTTTTTGCAAATATTATGAAAGTAAGTGCATCAGCACAATAAGGAAAATTGATCATTTTCCTCTTTTGTATTTTTTCTAATTAATATTCTTTTATCTCTTTTACACTTTAGAAAGGCTTATGACTCAAATGTTCTTTTTTTTTTGTCTCTCTGGACCACATGTATTGTTGCAAAGACCTAAACTAGAGAAAAGTTGGAGTCTGCATTTCATAACAATCTAAGATGGCTTACTAACCAGCCACTCTCAAGCCAGAAAGTTGTCTATCTTTCCTACAAAAAAACCAATGCGAGTTGCTACTTTAGACTCCTCCTATTGTCAACAGCAGAGTTTTCTTTGTGATCTTGATCCCTAGTCCTTACTTGTTCTAATCACGTGGCATCCAATGGAAAAACAAAATGTTTATTTCCTATGTTACAGTGTACTTCTTTTACTTCCAATACCAATGACCTGGCAACTTCTTTTTCACAAATGCAAGCATCCAAAATATCCTACAGAGGGAACAGTGAATAGAAGCAGTGTGAAATGTGACAACAGGACTCCACCACAACTGGGATCTAATAACTGCTGTACACTGGGTGTTACCAACAGCAAGCTACATCAAAGTTTTCCTGTTTCTCAATTATCTTTCTATTCTTTTTCTTCCTTTTTTTCCTTATTGTGATCTATTACAACAATAAAAGTGCATGACTGAAAAGTATGCTGGTGCTTAAACAAAGTTAATTTAGCGGTTGTTTCACAAAACCCTGTACTAAACAATCCTCAATGTAGCTGAACCTTTTTTCTGAACGTTTGTTTTTGTGAACAGTGTAAAGAGGGCCAAAAGCTAACAGTGGAAAGACTTTTAATTTATTAAATCAACCCTCTTATAGGAAAAGCCTGAAACCCACTGATTGCATCAAACCATGGTTTAGGTTAGACCTTGTGCAAATAACTGGCCATAAGTGTTACAGTTTGTTAGGAATCTTTAGTTTTCACTATCACAAAAAATAATTGGTGTTGCAACTGTTATGCAAGTAATCAGTGGCTTATGTTTACCTGGAGTTTGGTTTGAATTTCTTCTGTCCTTTCAGAGCTGATGTCTCCAAGCAGCCATGCAATACTTAGATGAAATGATGGATCCTACAAATGGATTCATTTGATAAGCTTAGGTAGTATTCAACTGATAAAACAGAACCAAAAACATGTGTTATCAAGTGAAGTGCTTCACAAACAAGAGCACACAAAAGAAGACCAAAAACAAACCAAAAACTGAACTTACACAGAGAAATCCTGTTGAATAACTTTCATTAAACTAATGTTGATTCCACATTCAATATTACATTAATTTGAAAAATGTCAAGAAAAAGCCAATTTCAATAAATAAGCCTTCAAAATCACCAAAACATATCACATCAATCTCTACCAAGTTGACTAGTAAATGAAATACCTTGTAGAATGCTGGAAGAGAAAATTCTTCCAAGATATCATCTACTATGGCAACGATCTCTTTCAGCTAAAAAGTAAGAGTTGTTTAGCGCTAATGTTTCCTTTCCTTTACAAGGCAATGGCTTATTAAAAGCTATAAAAGTAAATAGGATTATAACAAAGATGGTACATTTCCTGGTAAGTCAAAACAATCAATTCTAAGTAAATAACAAATTAGTTCTATTGCAGTCCTTCAAACACATATACATATATATTAAGCAATTCAATCATCTGCATGAACCTCTCTGAGACAACATAATAGACTATTTGCAGCATTTCACTCTTTCTACCTTCAAGGCGTATTTTAATCTCAGTTTGTCTATATATATGTGCATTAGAATGTAAAGTCAACACCATAAAAAGTAACAGGTTTATTTTGATATATTAAGAAAATAAAGCTTTTCTTTTGGCCTGTCAACAATAAGGTTGAGTTGTCTTGTCCCCTGCCAGGCAAGCCAAAGTGTTAATACAAGAAAAGGCTGTCCCACCTGACAGTGTTACCCAACCTGTCTAACTTGCTATCACCTCCCCCCCCCCCCTGCTAAGATGACTTTGCCATTTTCATGTTAAAGGTTAGTTGAGTTTTTCAAACGATTTGATTACTCTGACTGGGTTTCTTTGTGTCTGTTTCCATTCAAATTAATTATGAATAAAGTACTTCATTACCTTTTTATGTCCTGCAACTACTTTCAATGCTAAAAATGATCTGAAATTAACCACAGAATGTGAGGTTGTTAACGCATCACTGAGCTACAGCTGTCAAGACTGCAAGAAAATCATTTTAATGCTAAGAATTATCTAAGCCATTGAATTGCATGTTCCCTTCAAGGGTGCAGTTGATATGCTGGGGAATACTTGTCACAAGCAGTGTTAAGTACATCAATTAGTTAACTACATGAGTTCATCTTCAGGTAAAACAGTTTTGATTAGAGATGACATTTTGTACATTACCTTGTTTTTTCATCATTTGTATAGAATTCAGGGCACTGCAAGGTAGACCTAAAACTAAAACATAGCACAAAATGGAATTTTCATATGCTATAATTGATCGAATAGGGTTCAATATACCATGGGTAACTCCCTAAGGCATGTACGTTACAGTGGTATCAAGCATATAATTTTCTTTACCAATACAAGCACAAGCACTGATTCTTGTATGGGCAAGTGCAAATTTACAATACTGCACTCTAAAAGGTTGCTGTGCCTGGGCTGTATTTCTTTTTATTTCTCCTTGAGCAAATCATGGTCAAAGAGATGGCCTTATTGAGCACACTTCGCAGAATGGCAGAATTGACAATGATTACTTTTATTATAAACTGACACAATTTGTTCCAATCTGTGTACGGTTCTATTGATATCAAAATTAGCACTATCTTCATATACTTGCTAAAACATTATGTATTTTAAAATGTATTTCATACTATGGTAGAAAGTGTTTGGACAAACAAAATCTTCTTTTTAAATGGGGAGTTTAAAACGTGAAAAGTACATCAAGATATGAGAGGTAATCATCTTGACTAAGCTATTCTAGTTTATACCATACCTTTGCACTGTACTGAGGCCATTTTTTAGCTGTTGTACAATTGGCTCGATCCAGTAGTGTCTGACTGGCACTGTTCTGGACACACTAACATGTAACTCATTACATGGTGTCAGGTGAACTTCGCCTGATATAATAGCGGCCAAACTTTCGACCACAGATACCACAAGGCTCTCAAAATAACTGTTGGTTGTGACTTTGCAGGTGAAACACAATCAATTATCAGTAAAAATTTGTTCACAAAATGTTTTACCATTCATAATTGTGTATATTAAAAAGTCTTGCAAAAAGCCACAATGCAAAAAGTAAACAAATTACCACTTTGTTGACATGTTTCACCAGAAAAGTATTTGAATATAAATCTTTCTGTTTCTCTGCCTTACCCATTCAACTTAAATATGCCACTACATTTAAGTTAAAAGGATTCACTGCCTGTTACCAGTTGTACAAAAGTACACAAATGCAGCCAATCACGCTGCCCCTTTCAAATTAAAGACACAGCATATATATTTCCCTGCAGAAGACATATGAAAATAATAACTAAAATAAAGTATTGATTCAGAGGAACTTACAAGGAATAAACACATGCATAGCCCAGTTACCAGGAAAATGAGAAAATGTCCTTATCCTTCCATGGTGTTTAGCTGATTCGTCTTCTGAGATGGGATCTGAAGTAACATGATTAATAGCAAAAATGAAACATTGCCCAAGTGTAGGTGAAAACAAGGGAATACTTTGAATTTGACAACCCACAAGCATTGAAAATTTGGTTAAAAAAATTTGATGGGTTTAAAAAAGGGGTTATGGCAATGTGAAGGTTTGAGGGTGTGTCTATACTCCATCTGATCATTTGAAACTTCCACCTCACACCAATCTCTTGTGAGCTACTACGTTATTTACAACCATAACTGACACATTCTTGCAAAAAATGAATGAGGCAACACGAACTTGAGCCACTACCACAGGAGAAAAGTCCTTCCATGAAAATGAAGGACAGAAGAGGTAGAAAACAACTTATTATGCCTTTAGATATGTGTAGCTCTGGTGTGTTTGGAAATAGTCAGAAGTCTTTGTTTTAATAAGGTCAACATATCCTGTGATTTACCACAATTGGCAGTAATGTTGCAATCTGAAAGGCAAATTTGTTGTTGTTGATGAGAGTACAGATGATGCTGCTGATATCAATGTGTCACAAATTGTGGTCAGGTTCTGAAAGAGTCATTTTATTTGATATCAATAAAAAAACAAATTAACAGTGGTTTGGAATGGCCTGCTGGGCCTCCTAAGGTCCACAACTCTTTGACCACTATGATGACCAACATCATTATCGATGAGAGTGCAGACCACGTTTAAAACCACTGTCAATCAGGTAAATGGTCCAGATATTCTGCCTCATCAACCAAATTCTACCTAATAGACATCCTGTGCATGAATCTCAAAGAAGCAGCATGGTTTGTACTTGATAAAAATTATATCAAATGGTAAGCTAAACACCTACTAATAGTATGTTTGTGGGGTGCTTTGCAATTGTTGTGAGAATAATGATTGCTTTGGCCAATTTGATGGAGTGCATTGTATGCTTGCATTGTCACCAAACATTGATGTCATAAAACATGTTTGTGGATATAAAAATTTCCTACCTTCTCTGAACATGTTCAATACTTCTTTCGGTAATGGCAAAACCTTTCTGTTATAAACAAATATTGTTTAGGTGTGAGTTTATATTTCAGATGCTTTATACTGAACATTACCTGACTGGCAAAAATATCAAATTCAATTAAAATTCCTATATGGGATATCAAAAGAAAGGAGCAAAGGTTACTCCGAGCAATTTCACAACCTTCCCTTTCCCACAGAGTCATAAAAACACAGCAAATTGCAGGTCTTTCATGATGAGAGTAGCAGCATTTTTTATAGCCTGGCAACACTGATTAAGTTTTCTCAGGCAAAGGTAATAACAACAACACCTGTCTCATGGGTTTAATGTGCAATAATTGAGGATCCCTTTTTTACTCTACTTCAGTGAGGAAAAAATTTCTGCATACTTTCATGTATCATCAAGCACATGGGAAAAAGGTATAAATATGCATACATAATTAAGTTTCAGATTATATACCAAAATAATTTGGAAAACTGACCAATATATACTCCCATCTTAATCAATCACTTTATCATTTTGTTTACCATTTTCTCATGAAGCTTTCATCATTTGAGTTCATAATTATATATTACTAATTTACTAACAGGATGATGTCAGTAATAATCAATTCGAAGCTTCAACATTCACCCCCCCCCCCCGGCAACCCACTGGCATTTGACCATCATCGATGCCCAAGGGGGGGGGGTTGTTTAGGGAATTTGAACCTTACCTGGCTGGGCTGACACAAGCACTAAGAGTTGCAACAGAATTAATTTGTCACCATCATTCTATAAGTATAGTAAAGCTGAGGTTGACTAAAAATTATTTATCATTTCTATGTAGGACCCCTTCTTACTTTCAAAAATTTGTAGGACTGAAAAAATTAAATTAAGCTTGCCTTTCTTCTTGAGTAATGCCACAATTCTCGCACCCGCCTTTTTCAGTTTTGGCCAGTTTAAGTTTCATGCTTTGAGATCCTGTTTTATTTTTAACAGCAGTCAATTCCTCCGCATCGTCGCTCGAGTTTTCCGATTCATCTGATCCATACGATGATAGTAGCTGAGACAGGCCATCCTTTGACATGTTTCCGGGACCGCTGAAGTTCGGACACTTTAGTGTGTAGTATTCGCTTGGTAGTACTCATCGTGTAGAGTACATAAAGTGATGCACTGAGAAACGAAACATGGCGGACAGCGAAATGGTTACCGATGTATCTACAAGTAAGAACTTTTACTCTTCCAGAAGTTTCTGAGAACTTTATCGTGCATGTTTCAAAACATAAGTTTCTTCCATAGAAACAGCTGTGAGCTGTGTATTTGTTTGTTCTCGAGATTCGGAAAAATCAAAACGTACCACGAAATCTGCGAAGCTTATACGTGGTATAACCTCATTATTCGTAAAGAATCTACCTTTAAGATGAATATTTCACAAAGCTTACAACTTAGAAGACTGATATTATCCAAGGTGAAGGATTCAAAAACTTCTATACTGAAAGATTTTACACCTTTATCCAGCGGCGTAATTTATTTCAGTCGGTCATATACATACGTCGTAAGATTTAAAGTCGTTAACTAATGGCGTAAAATCACTTAATATGAATGTATACCGAGTAGGTTAGTGGCTTAAAATCCCACATTCTATAGACTGACTTGTGTTAGTCACATAATACGGCGTTATCTAATTACCGCTTTTCACCGCTTTATAGAAACTAATGATATGACAAATGAAAAAATTTAACGCTTGCCTGCATCTAAACTTGCCATCCTTTGCAATTTTTCTCTTTTTTTAAATTTTTCTTTATTCTGGCAAAACAAAACTCTTAAAAGAACTTATTTTGCCATTTCATAACCCAAATTTTCTAAGTATGCTTAGGCATCAAAAAACTGTTTCTGTTTCATTTTGCATACCGCTATTTCTTTTCAGTTTTCTTCATAATACCTGCTTGGATTTTTGGTACCATTTTATTTGTTCATTAGCTTGTTGTTCTTCTTGCTGATTGTTAATTTTTGATGGAACCCTTTTACTGGATTTACTCAGAATTGTACTTGATCACAAAACAAGTCATAAGTAGACTAAAGATGGGTGACTTACAAAATATTCTCATGTTCTCCCAACATATGCTATAGGTTTATTATTTTGTTGAACCTGGGAAATGTGTGCCATTACCTAGTGGTAAATATTTCTCAGATATTTGAATACAGTTTGCTCACACAAATCAGCAGCTACAGCACATGGGTATGTTTCCTTTGTTACTTTTTGTTCACTGTTATTTGTTTTGTTTTAGAAGCACTTTATTCTGGCCTCCCAGAACATGTTCAACACAACTTGGAAGAACTTAGTCTTCAGGTAAGAGTGAAATGTCACTCGTGTTTCCTTCAGGAGGAGGGCTTGGAGTCATCAATCTTGTAGAACTTGATAAGTGGGGTGAGAACTGGTGATTTCTGATCAACACATTTGGTGAAACTGACTTTTTTATTCCTAATTCTAAACATTCTCTCTAAATATACTCTGACTGTAATCTATATCTTTCTGTTATTATTGTATTCAACACAGTAGTGAGATGAAACAATGTGGCTCTTAAACAAGGTCAGGGTTATAAAGCCTTTTGAGAACACCTACACTAAAGCTTCCCTTGAGTGCCTGTTCTCAGTGAGGAGTTTCTCAACTGAAGAAAGAGGAGTATTCCCTTTTTTCAAATTGAATTATGATCAAAAAGGACAAAAATTAAACCATCTTAATAAAAGTTTGAAAATAGGCTTTATGGATGTCACATTTGGTTATCTTATTACTTAATTTTATTGAGAAAGTGGACATGCTTTAAGAGTAATTTATTGATCCTCTGACACAAAGGAGGTAGAGGAGAAAGTGTCTGTCATGCTAAAAAAGTTACTTCCTCTATAGCATTCCATGGATTAAAATGTGTTCTCCTTCTCACTTTCCAATGCAGCCATTAAATTGTTCTGCTAGAAGCGCAGTAAAATCATTTATGGGAAGAGTGGTACAAAAAAATAAAGAGGATCTGGAAAGGAAACTGCGATATGATCCTGTGACTTTGGACAGGCTAAATAAACACAAGCCAAACAAGAAACCAAAGAGAAAAGAAATGTCCCTAAGAGAGAAAAAGAGTCGAGGCATTTACAAGATTTCTCCCAAAAATCAAAGGTGAACTGCATCTTTTATTGATTTCACAAGAGAATAGGGTTAACTGTTAACATGAAGATCTTGATGTATTTATTATTATAGCACAACTAGTTCTACTAAATCATCAACACAAACCTGATCAATCTGGTCACCAGAAATGAGAAATTAATTTGTGGTAAATTCAACTGAGCCAGACAGCACCTGACTAGTATATATGACAGAATTTAGAAAGTTTTTGCAAACTTTAAGTTGAAATGGGAGGATTAGTAAGACTCACTTATGATTTTTTAACTTGATTTAACTAACACAATTAATTATTATAAACCATAAACAAAATAATGTGAAGCATATTTACCAAAGTTATGTTCAGTTTCTCTTCTAGTTTTGGCATGATATTTAGAGTGTGGAAGTGACACAGAAAGTCCCAAAATTTGATTGGTTTTCTTCATATCACTTCTCATGTGTCAGCTGCTAGGGCATGCTGGAAATTGGTGACACCCAGTATTATTTCAATGCACTTGTGAATATTAATATTGTTCTGGAATGATTTACTTGTTAGGTATGAAATGTATCTTCCTCTTCATGATTTATGGACAGGCTACATGCAAGAAATGTTAAACTTGACATCTGAAAGGTACCTTTTTGGCAAACAATTTTAAGTGCTCAATACCAATACCAGTTTCTTTTGGTGACATGCAACATATTTTTTTCTCTTCTTTGGTTAGAACTTGGAAAAAAATATAAAAGGTAGATACTACATGTATCTTGTTAGTGATGGGGCCTGCATAACTAATATTAAAGGAATTGCAAGAGAAACATCAGCTGTAACTGCTGTAGGCTAGTATGCTTTAGCAACAGGTGTTTCAGGTGTCAACATAGCCCTATGGTGTGATTATCTGGGAGGGGGCTGTTCTGACAACAAGCTTAATCTTTATCAAAGCATTGTAACATGGGAAAGTGAATGCATTTTTGCTGGTATTTCTCCTTCAACACAAATAAAAGACCTTAATCAATTAGGCTTACTCGTCAATTTTGTCAGTGTTTGTCATCCAGACTGCAGTAATTGTGAAGAAGAGCTCCCTCAGAAACCCTTTCAGCCAACAGATAACCAATAGGCCACTGTATGTTGGCTGATTGTCAGCTGACAGGTTTTTTCAGGGAGTTTTTCTACACAAATATTACCCAGGTTGCTATACTTATAACGCATGCTTATTTAACTGCCTTTTTCTATATTTTAGTAATTTGAAAGTTATATATCCCAAACTACTGCGTGCTGACTACCATGGGTGTATTCTCAAGGGTGAGTAAATTATTGTGTAAAGCTGGCTTGTCAGGGCTTGATAATGGATGTTCCAGTCAGTACAAGGAGGTATTTAGACTTCACCTCCTGTTTCTATATATTGGTTAACTGAAATATGTGTATAACAATATATTTATTTGGGTGTCTCAACTTGTGCCTTTTACTCTATTGTTTTAACAAAGCTAAATTAGCTGTAGTAGAATATTGTGTGACTTTTCCCCATATGATGCATGTATCTGAAATTTTTTTACCCTTAACACCACAACATCAGTATGCATATTCTCCCTAATGTTCTCTAATTGTTTCCTAAGGTGCTGACAAGGAGAATTTGTTTAACAATCAAGAGCTTTAGTTGATGATCATTTCTTATATTCTCATGACCTTTAAGTGTGATTCCGAATCACAGGGGGTGGCAGGGGTGATCTTGTAAAGAGAAATTAGATGCCAGTCACTCTTGGGTTGTACTTTATTTATGAATGTTTGAAATTCTGGGATAGTTATTATTGGCCTTTGATCAAAGGCTTATGAACTTGCAAAAATTATAATGCCTCGTGTACCTCCCTAACGGTAAGAAATGAAATATTTTAGTCTTTAGGATAATTGTGTCTTATGAAAGGCACATTCCTCTGGTTGGGGTGAGAATTACTTGTGGACTGGAGTTAACCTTTTTCTCCCTTAATAGACTTAGATGTAACTTCTTGGGACTGAAATAAATAGTGTTAAACAGCTTTTGTATTTCTTTTTTTAACAGTGAGCAGATCCAAGTGTCCATCATACGTAGGAACATGTGGTATCTTACTTCAAGAGACAAAAAATTCCTTCAAGATTATCACAAAACAAGACAAACTCAAAAGTAAGTCTCATTAATGACACTGACCATAAGATACACCCGACACTCGTTTGGTTCTTGGTAGAACACGCATTTTATGTAAGATAATATTGTAATTTTCAACCCTGTCTTGGCTGAACAACACACACTTACAATGTCTTTCTCTTTGATGAAGCTTACAAATGGCTTTTTACTTTGTATCACATGGAAATTTGATTTAGGAATTCTTTAAGAAATTCAGTTTCAAGAATCTTCCTTTGCTCCTTCCTCTGTCTACTACACATTAACGTCAGTTGTAGTAAAGGTAGCTATATGCCAGTAAACAACATACTCGGTGATATGTTTTACGTTTTTTCATTTTTTTGCAAGTCTACAAAGTTTGATACCCAAGGCGCTCTGTGGTAACCTTGTGTAGAAATTCTGTAGAGGCTAGAGAATTATTAAATTCTCTGGTATCCAAGTCCATTTAATGCAAATGCGTCCTTGAAAGTCACTTTTTTCATACGATGCTCTAATCCTACTAGCTTAATCACGGATCTGTTGCTAAGAGATAGAACTTAAGCAGCTCTGTATTTTAATGATTTCGATTTGTCGGTGACGTCATCCACATGTTTAAGAGTTTTTTTTTTTTTTTTACATTCTGAATTGAAAATCTAATTTTTCTGCCTGCCATACGAATGGTACATCCATTTACGAGGAATTTAGTATTATCAACTAAGTTCATAACGTAAATTGGCCACCGTAAAGAGTTTCAACGTTTTCATTAGCCCTTCGTCAAAGCGATGACGAAAGGCTACCGCTCGAAACGTCAGCTTTGAAACTTACGTTGGCCAATTTACGTCATTAAATCAGTTGATAATACTTATTACCCTGTTATACTCTCCCACCGACGCAGCACCACAGTTTCTTTAGAAATTTACCCTCTTTGTACATCCATTTAGTTTCGTACTGTTTAATGCCAACTTGCAAAACCGGAAGTCCCTGTTGTAAATGTGTTCCACCGATTGAACCCCTTGTCTTGTACCTACCAGAGTTCAAATCAGAATTAAGTGCGATGTAGAACTCTTACATACATACGCCCATTTGTAACCGAGGGAAATAAAAAAGAGAAATTTATAAACATGACAAGTCTATTCCTTGGTCAAGAACTTGAAGCCCTCATTGGCTTCTCTTGATTCTGTAGTGCTGAAGTGGCGTTTGTGCTCCTTAAAAAGAACCAGTTATTTGCTGCCAGATCTATATTTGCACTAGGAATTGACACTGTTAAAAAGCCTCCTCACTTTCGTAGAAAATTTAGTTTGTATGTCTGTAATCTCGACAAAAAGAGTCTTTCACAAGTCATATAACCGCAGTCTGAGCTGCGTGTTTAAAAAAAAACGAATTTGACGATAAATTTTACAAGAAACTGCTTGTATGTTTTAGTAATAAAACATCACAGGAGTCTTGAGGAAAAAAAACTTTTATCTGAGCTACACAGCTGGACAATGATTCAGCCGTTTACTTTTTGAACTTAAAGGTGCTTCACTCGCTTTATTAACAAAATGTGTTATTTTTTCCCCGAATTATGATACACTGAATGACAAAACAAAATGTCTTCACAATGGAACTTATAAAATGCTTTGTTACCCAGTTAGAGTTGTGTCAGTTACCGGAAGTGATAGTAAATTTTACTTAACTATCTTACTTAGCTGCAAAACCATGCTAAGTACATACTTTTTGCTTTTAATTTTCAAGGTAAATAATACACTCTGCACTGAATGTTCGCGAACCAAGCGCCGAGTTTATTCTAGCAACTAAATGTGAGAGACGAAAGTTTTACTTTTCCCGGAACACGCTTCTTAAAGCATTTCTTACGCGTGCGTTTTGCAATTGTTTCCATGAATGTGCAATATTTCCGGCTCTAGTGACGCTAAACATAGATTCTTTCCCACGGCTGGAAATTTTTTGTAAGGTCATACATGTTTTTCGTTGTGCTTGTTCAGAAAACACTGTTATTTTTCATCTTATCGGAATCTTGAAAAAAGTAAAGAGAGATGGTCAAATGTTATTTGCATCTGTTGTCAAGGGAAATATCTGATTGTTCACGTCTTCGTTTTTAATGTTTGTAAAATAATATTGAGCCCGAAATGGTTGAAGTTTTTTGGTTACAAAGTTTGATAAGGTCTTTCTATTTCTGACTGAAATGAAACTCAGCGAACAGTAACTACTTGTCAAGCGGTAACGTAGGTTTGAAGCCTTGCGTCATTTTGAAAGGCCGAGTGCAATGTGCTAGTAACTAAGATAACCATGTAGTTTAGTGTTGTAAGATTAAAAGTCAAAACTCAAAACAAGCATACAAAAAATGAGAGCTAAGCCGGAAATATAATTATAGAACTTCATGCAGGATCAGAGTGAGAAATATTGGAACTCCTCGCTGAATGATGTACTTGAATACCCCAGGGTGTTCCTGCTCTGTTTATGCCTGTGGGATATCAACGTGTCATGCCCATGGAGAGAACTCCTTCCTTGCATATGAATAAAAGGGGTAATTTCTAAAGAAACTGTGGTGCTGCGTCGGTGGAAGAGCATAAAAGGGTAATTTAGTTTTATCAACTGAGTTGGTAACGTAAATTGGTCACCGTTAAGAGTTTCAAAGCTGACGTTTTGCCGGAGTGTAAGCCTTTCGTCAGACGTCGCTCTGACGCAGAGCTAACGCTCGAAACATCAGCTTTAAAACTCTTTACGGTGGCCAATTTACGTTATGAACTCAGTTGATAATACTTAATTATCCTATCTAGCAAGCCAACGACGTCCCTGCGCTACCTCTGGCCCCCCTAGTAAAACGTTTGCGTTGCACGTAGTTACGAGTTTATAGGATGGAAGCAAATTGGATCTACCTTACTTCACTGAATGCAATATATCATAAGCCCTTGACATTTTAGTGTCGTTTTCCTGTTTTAGTTTTACATTTATATTCTTATTCCTATGTTAGCCTTTCCCGGGCTCTTAGTCAGTGGAAATGAGCGATTACGATTGTTAGGGAAACGGATGCCTGAGCACTGATGCCGCCGCCATTGACTGAGAGACTGGCAGAGGCTATGTGTGGTTGTGATTCTATATGTTTTGATGATACATAGCCAAACAACGAGTTTCTTTTTTGTTTATGTTCAGTGATTCCTAAAGCAAACAGTGTTTTTACATTTGAACTGGGAGGATTTGAGTTCACGATTCACGGAAGTCATTTCTGCTTCCGATCTAGTGAGCGCTCGGCAAGGAGATTCAAACCAAAAGCGACAACAGACTTATAAACATCCATCTTGGACAGATTTTCCAGTCAACATTGTTCCCACAGCTGTGGTGCCGTGATCACAGAAAGTCCTACAAAGAAGGAGTATCTGAGTAATCACAAACATGCCTATGAAGGGAATTTGTAATTTTGCATAGAGAACGTTTTTAGTGTGCATGCTAAATGTCTTCAGACTTTGTAAAAAATTTGAATAAACATTACATTTTGCATTACATTTTGGTGTTGGTAATGATGCTAAATGAATTTCGGTGCGCCCACAGTTTTCAATGCAGAATAGCCCTTGGCATGTTTCACCCTCAGTTCATGCACTACTTTTGACATCGTGGGACTATTTTCATGGAAAAATTTTTTGTGTAAGAGGAAATTATTTACCCTTCGAATAGCCTGTTCCAGGCCGTTAGTATGTGAGCCGGCGAGCGATTGAAGAAAATGAGGGGAAACTGAAAACTGCCCGCCCAGTCCTCCTCCTGCTTTGACCAATACCCTGCCACATAATATACCCATACCTCCCTACATTGGCCACTTTCCTCAGTTTCTAAGGGGGCCTTTGTGGATTGGTTAACATTCTGTTTTTCTTCCTTGACAACTGGAGACGCAAAGACAAACTGGAGAGAATGATCGAAAATAATTATAACAATGATAATGATTATAACGATAGTAATAATAGTAATAATAAAATAATAATAACGATAACATGCTTTTGTGCACTTGCAACTAAACGAACTCTATTTGGACTTCATGTTATTTCTATTTCGTTTATCTATGATAGTTCTACGAAGAATTAATACTCCGCCGAAGCAATGAAATATTAGAGGCGGTCGTGATCATTGCCAAAGACGACTCAAGCTCCTAGCAGGCAATTCTTGAGTTGTTTAACAATACAGAAGTTCTGTGTTATGAATTCTTAATTGCCAGGAGCGTGAGGAATTTGTAACATTAGAAATTAAGTTAAGGTGGCAATGGAACATTCTAGTTAAACACTAATTTGAATGATAATCATTCTCCTGCACATTTTAAACCATATTTTCCTCATTTTTTAGCCGCTAACAATACCGGAGTGATTAACCTAACCTAATTTTCGATTTCTAGCATACTTTTCGTGCTAAGACTCTCGGAGGTTAAGTGTTTCCACAAAAAATCTTTCCTGAAATGTGAAAAACTCACAATAAATGGATGTAAATAGTTGTTGTCTTGAATACAGATACCGCCAAAAATATCTTCAAGAGGTCCGTTAGACAAACGTTATTCTATGTTTTGTTCAACAGGGCGGGAGATATGTTTTATATGTCATGTTTTTTGTCACCAAACTCAACGAGCTCTAACCGTCCCCAGCTATTGACCAGTCAAGTTTTGAAAGGAGAGTTCAATCAGCTGATGGCTGTACTATAATTAGCAACTGGGTCTATAAAAAGAAGTATTTTAAAGGTCAATCTTGTGGCTGGCGCATCAACAGTAATATATTCCAGTTCCGTAAAGAATTTCGTTCTCCGATCTTCTAGAGTAGATTCTAAGGTTTACAGTATTAACTTCCATTGCAAATAATGTTGCATCATTTTGAAGCTTCGTTAGCCTCGGTTTAATTAATAGTCTTCAAGTGTAAGAATCCATAGAGTGATTGTTTTCGATTTAGTCTTAATTTTCACCCACTCTAAGACTCACACTTGATCGCAATTTATTCCAAGAATTTTTGGACAAACACTGAAATGAAGCAATTTGGATTGTGACGGGCAGATCAGATCTAATAGCAAAAGGTGCAGTCTGCAGTAAATCCCCTTGACTGAACAAGGTTCAGAGGACTGCGAAGCGATTTACCTATCTACTAAGTTTATGAAGGTCATCGGATTTTGGTTTCGGAATTTTAACACAAAACACTTGGAATAAGTTTGTTGATCTATTTATCTCTACTTAAGGTGAAATTACTTAAGGTACCGAATTTGGATCGCCATGAATTTAGTTCACAACTCAGCCAAACATTCCAAACATTCCTGAAATTATTTGAATGATTAATACCCATTGTGTAGGTTGTTAATGTTGTTCTTTGATTAGGCTAATCAGCCAGACTTCTGGAACGAAAGCGCTCTTCGATTTTCACTTTCACGATTGAGTGAATCTGCTGGAATATCTTTTTAGGAGTTTAATGTGATTTGCAGGCATGTAATGTAACTAAAAATGGGTAATAAGGGGTCTTCTAAATTGTGGTATCTGAGACACAACGGAAATGAACAGGACGCCGGGTTATGATATCATTGACGTCACAAGTGTTTTGATTATTTTTGCAAGCCCCTTACAATTGCCTGCAGAAAAACTAATTGGCTAGCGTAATGATTTGACCTCAATTCGTGACAGTTAAGCCCCGGCGATACAACGTATCGGCTCAAGTTACAGTTGTGTTATCATTCACATTTGCGCATTGTGGGAGAAGCTGTTGTTATCGACAATGGACAAATCTGATGGGCAAATCACGTGTTTGAACGTGATAATAGCGTTTTCACGCGAAAGAAATCGCTGTTAGTCAGTGTGGATTATGTATATACCCGCCGAAACCACAACATGGGGGATTTCAAGTATAATTCTCGCCCTCTCCCAAATCGTCGAAATTTATGGTCACGTGACAAGACTCCCCCGCAACGAGCTCGGGATGAAAGAGAGTTACCTAGTGCGCATGCGTCCAATAACTCCACAGAATCTTCCGTCAAAATGGCGTTAACTTGTAAAGTTCAGTATTTAGATGACACCGATCCTTTCGCCAGCACAAATTTTCCTGAACCCACAAGGCCTCCTACATACACATTCCATCTGAATATACCACTTTTTCAGCAAATCGGCGGACTCCATCGGCTGTTGTCTGCTCCGCATAGCGTACGCTAAAAGTTGTTTATATCTCTGTCCACTTTTCGTCTGAATTTTTGTTTTGTTGTAACCGGTGGCTGTGTACCTTTGTTTTAATTGACTGTGATGATTTGCTGCCATAGATCGACGATGTGGCGCTGCAGCTGTCGCACAATGGATGTTATTTGGATTTGGAAAGCTCCCTGGAAGAGCAAGCCGATTTATTGGAAGGATTTTTAGACAGGTATGAGATGATTGTCACCTTCAATGTTTACGAAGCCGTAATTACAACTTAACTCTATTTTTTATTTGTACCAATGAAGGTTCCCTTTTTTTGTTATCCTCTAAGTAAAATGGGGCTTTTTATCTCTCGTAGCCGTAAAAACACAATTATTCTACGGACGGCTCTGTCGGTTCGAGTGCACAACTGTATAGGTGAGTGAAACTTCAACTCTAACATCTTAAGCCATCTACCATTTCACAGTTTGAGCTGTAGGAGCCCATGCTTGAGTGAAAATAGTGATTTATCAGGCACTCATGACCAAAGGGAAGGTGAAAGAGTAATTTATAATTTGAACAGCGTTCAGCTTAAAGCTGTCTGATCCGCACGGATTTTTCTCGCACACAGACAAATACCTTGCCAACTGTTCTGAAAGCCAGATATTTGTTGTGTGTTAAGCCATGTTTGGCTTATATGGGACACTTTGGCTGAGCATTTCGAGTGGGTTGTTTTGGCTTAAATACGATAACAATACGCTTGCTCTACAAGACGTAATGTTACTAATGGTTGCCTGCTTGCCGTTTGTATAACATGCTGGCATCTCAAGTAGTCAGGTTATGTTACTATTTGCCAGCTCATTTGGGTCAATAAGTCAACAGTCGAGTAGCTAAAATTTTGTGATTTCCGTTGTTTTCTCTTAGGTTTGAAATCAAACAAAGAAAGAAACCCAAAAATTATATCTCTGCTTGTCGAACAACACTCCTCGATCGTGCACGAATCAATTTTCGCTAAGCGCGTTACTGTTTTGTTGAACAATTTGCATAAAAATAGGTTTGTAATCTTGGTTTGGTTGAACGATCAGTTTACTCGCGGGCTATTTACTTTTCACAGTTTGTATTACTCTGTGCGTGAGATTTGACTGTTCGTGACTTCAGACCTGCCCTAATAAGCTTTAGTGGAACACTTAATCATTTCAAAATGAAACAGCAGCCAAAACTGTTCGATGTGCAACGCACATTTCGTACTGTTCATTTTAGGTTCCTGCTGATTTCCGTCAGTAATAGCTCTGGATTAATTTCATTTTAACAAGTTAAGTTCTTGGAAAATCATTGAAAGTTTTACTCAGCGCTAATTTTTTTTGAAGTGCTTCAATTTTCCTTTTTCGTTTTGCTTCCTTTTCTGGTAATCATGGTAATCGAGCCATTTTAGGGCTTTAGTTCAAACTTCCTTTGATGGTTAGTCACCCGAAACAAGGCTGATCATAAATAACTTCGCTTCTTGTTGTTTTGAAGAAGACCATGTGCTTGTTTATCATTTGTGAGTGTGTAAAATTGACTGATTTTCGTGTGTCGCTAATTTTTTTTTAAATTCAATGAATAACCATGAGGGAACTTTCAACAGGCAGGAAACGTTTTATTTTCAAATCCTGTTACATACTTAGTATTTATTCCTTAATTTGCAATCTTCTTCGCTATTCACAACTAGTAGGTGATTTTCCATCGTCTGTTGTTGATAGTACTCTTCCCAAAAATGGGCTATTTATCTCGCTGACAAGACATTGTAGATTGACTTTTTTGTGTCAGTCAACTCCCCAATGTGGTATAGTTGGTTTGTTTATCAAGGTGGTTATGAAACATTGACAACTTTAGGCATTTATTAGTTCAATAATTAATGTTGCATTTAATTGCAAATCTTCAAGACAGAGCATTTTCAGTTTCCAACAATAAGCTTTTTGATAAAAGTAGTTCACTCAAACCCTTGCTCTCCTGGTTAACAGTTGAAAATAGCTGGTGGGCTTTATTGGCCAGATATTCCCCTGATTGTTGTTGAAAATTTGAGTTTGATGAGAATAGATATTTTGTAGTTTATTTTCTTTAGGGAAAATAAAAACAAAACTTGCTGTTTTGCAAACCAAGACAATTATTTTATTCCTCCTCTATTTTCTTTGCCTTATTATTGAAGAATTGAGTTTCATCAAGGCTGTTCAAGATAGAGGATTCTGGTATTTCAAAAACACACTCCTTGAGGATTATATTCTCAAAGTCACTAATAATATATTCATTTCCCAGCATTGAAAATTTTTGCAATGGTCATTCTCTTGCCTTACTCTTTTAGGGACTAGTTGTCCAAATTCCATTTGTCACTAACTCTTTGGGCCTATTT